TCCGCCTCATTGGCCCAAATACGTCTTCCAGATTAACACCAACTGACATGAATTGCAGATTCGAAACTGTCTGTTGACTATTTTTAGCCTTTTCATATCAATTACTAACCGTAACAACATGAAGTCATTCAGACCAGTGTCCACAATGATTATGTGATAACCTTGCTTTTAACCCGTGTGGTTTATATAGTCACATATGGGATCATTAAAAGCCCTATGATCCGATAATGTTTCATGTGTTAATATCGAGTCAGTTGTAATCTCTATTACTGTTCAAAACAATAAATAAACAATCTGCAATCCAAAAACAATGAGATCATTCAACACTTCATATATGGTGGGAATTTATTTAAATTTACCTATCTGTCTATTATTAAGTGACCTGGAATAACCCTAAGCATAGTTAATCTATTGATTATGTAAACGGATTAAACACAATTTTTAACTAAACTATTCACATATATTCATTCTTAGCTGTTTTCAGCAAATAGAATAAAAGTTTATTTCACAGAACATAAGTGAAATTGTTTTATATTCACTCATTTATTACATCACCTCATCTGCAAGTAGCTGAGAATTCAAATCGCCTCAGTTGTCAACCCATAATATTGACTAATATTCAATCTGTTTTTTTTTCTATTTAATTTCTTATCCAAGAATTTGTCTAAAATCGGGTTATATTCCCGTGTTTTAGATCAATAAGATGCGACCAATCAGAAAATTACACGTTAAAGTTTTTCTGTGGATTTATTTATATATCAATCAAATTTTTCTTGCTACCTTATTGGTTAATTCGATATGTACGATATAATGCATAAAGGTACATTGTAATAGATACAAATATGATATGAATTTAGAGTGCGAAAATCTCAGTTTCTAGCAAATGAACCATGTGAAGATTGATAACTAATTGAATTGAAGTGCAGTTGATTATTTTTGTTTTATTCAAAAGTTCAATCTTGTAACATAATTGATAAAACATTAAATATAATAATGATTTATATATTCTGGAAAATAATAATTACAGAATTCACGCCAGTTTACAGGCATGATCAATTTGATATAAAGAGGAACATTAGCTGTACAGAACAAACATTTGATAGAAGAACGTTTTAAGTATACAAGTTCAGTAATTGTTTATGTAGTACATGTATTACAGTGATCCAATGCATCAGCCGGGAACTTTTAATATTTCTTAAATGGACAGCCTATTGATTTATGAACGGTGTAATTAAGGTCATTTCGTGATGTATCGCCAAAGCATATCCATCCACATTTAGCCGTATTAAGCTCCAGTTGCCATTTTAAGCATCACTGTGCTACCTTGTTAAGCTCCCTGCTGATGCAATTTTGCATATTTTTCAGCTCATGTGGAAAGATGAATATACTGCTTTAAGATAATCTGTATATAGAAGGGGTTTAACCACACAAAAACTTTCACAAATATCATTGATAAACACTAAAAAGAACAAAGGACCTAAGACACTACCTTGTATTACACCACTTCTAACAGGGACAGCGTTAGACAATGAAGAGTTAATTTTAGCTATTTGATGTCGATTGCTGAGAAAGGAATCAAACCAAGCTAGCAAAGGACCCCATAAGATGCGAGTTTACCTATAAGAAGTTGGTGGCTAACCATATCGAAGGCTTTAGAAATGTTCAGATATGTAACATGATAGTTAATGAATTCAACTTTTATGGAAGTAAGGTGAAATAAACTATACCATAAGCAAGTGTATTAGTAAAGTAATAGTTTGAATGAAGTGTTATAGAGTTTAAAAAACATTATAAATATTAAATATTTAACAGAATGAAAAGATTAAACTATTATAAGGCATAAATGAAGGATTTTAAATGGTTATCCAAAAATTTCATGAATACATCATACATCCATAAAAATGCCTGTTCTATTATGTCGAAAATGAATCTCGGAAAACACTGATAGTTTAACAAATTTAAATCCTTTATCATTTAAATAATTACAAGTGAATAATTGTATAGTGTCCCAAAAAATAGTCCTGTTAATATTTTCTACCTTATTCCAAATACACCAAATACATATAGAATTTAATATCAGAGAACTTATTTTCAATAATGAAACTTATAGGTATCATTACCAAGGTGTGACTTGATAATTTCAAATAAATTGAGTATTGGGTAGACTGATAGGGAAGTCCTACTCACTGCCTTTTCGCGGCGAGGGTGTTGTTTACGAAATTGAGAGAACAAGAATGTAATTTTAACTTATCATCCCGTCATATCAAAAAGGATCAACTTGCGCCTGATTATTGAAATGCACTAATGATATTGTTCCGCTGGAGTGATGAAATAATGAATAGATTTATCTGAGCAGCATCAATTGACAATAATTACCATAAATCCTTATTCAATAACTTATATCTCAAACAACTGTATCTGGTTTGTAACTGTGATGAATTTTCCTCACGGTAAAGAGAATTTGTGTAAGTCGTTTAACTACAATCTAATTTCGATCAACAACTAACAACAGCTGGAAGACTAGCAGCTAAATATTTTGTAATTAACTATCTAAAATAAATCGGTAAAATTAATCCCCAGTCGGTGGTAAATATTACTTTCATATTTGCTGATTCAACTGAACCTTATTTATTATTGTAAGGTAAATTCTGAAGTTAAAAAGTATGCAAACAAAATGATCCTATCAATACATACTCGTACGATAGAACTCTGGAATTATCGAGTATCCATGGGACTTGAAGCTGATGTTTGAAAACTTACACTTGTCAGCGGTATTCAAAATGAAAAATTGGCAAAAACATAACAATCTGATTGAGAAAACTTTTTATAACTCAATGTATATTGATTTTTAAAGTCATTTTTGTATCACTGATAGTTAAGTGTTTATTAATAACAATGTATCCAGTTTATTAGCCAGTAGTTTTAGTTTCTTTCGGGAGTATAATTAACCACCTCGTTGAGAACTTTGAGCTGACGTCCGGTCTCTAAAAACGTGCTCTCATAAGATGAATTGCCTAAGACGAACATGTCCAGATAACATGGTGACTGGACAGGCTTTTCTATTACAGTTAATAGTTATTTTCAAAATAGTTTATGTATACTTAAAAGTCTTGAATCAAAGTCAGAATCTTCAATACGAACGTAGACAGTTCTACTGTACGAAGCTGAAACGTGGAGAACCACTACAACAATCATTAAAAAGTCACAAGTATTTATAAACAATTGTCTACGCAAAACACTCGATGTCCGTTTTCCAGATACCGTCAGCAACAGCCTATTGTGGGAGAGAACAAACCGACTTTCAGCTGAAGAGGAAATTAGGAAGAGATGTTGGAAGGGGATAGGACATGCATTGAGGAAGTTACCAGACTGCATCACGAGGCAGGCGCTAACTTGGAATCTCGAAACGGAACTGAAAAGAGGAAGGCAGGACAACACAGCAATCGGAAGCAGACATAAAAAGGATGAATAGCTACTGGAAGAGATTGCCCAGGATAGAGTTGAATGGAAAGCGCAAGTGGGCGGCCTATGATCATCCACGAGGGGTAACAGGCGTAAGTAAAACTCTTGAAAACTTGTTAACAATATAATCAGTCCGTTGATCGGTAGTTCTGATTTATTTCTAGAGTGTACTGAAAAGACGGAGTTGATACGATCAGTATTCAATTATCACTCACCTCGGTCACTTAAACGCTTTATTTAGTCAACTATACGTTTATGAAAAATTAGTGATAGTTGAAAAAATTTCCTCATAGTTCTTTTCATTAGGACTTTTATTCAATTTCAGTTAACGAAATTTTTAAATCCGCTTGTGGGCTATACTTTTAATCATCTGATTCATTACTGAAATAAATTTAACGGAATGGGAATTTGTGGAGATTGTGGTATTTTTACATTTAAAGCCGTGACCGGTGGACTCCAGTCCGTGTCGGGTGGAGACAGTTATCCACTTTAAACAATGAATGAAGGGTTGCTCAAGATCGTGGATCGATTAAAGTTAGATGTTAACACCAATGGACGCCGACTCAATGTTCTAGAGGTTAAGAGTTTGCGCTCGGGATCGCGGATATACAATGTTGAGGAGTCCAGTACTAGGATGAAACAGTTATCCAATGTTTCCAGATTTTCAATGGTAATCTAGCTTAGATCGACTCATGCATTCAATTATATACATTTAACACTTTGAACAGTTTCTTCAGACTCAAGTTACAATACAAATTCAAAGTAATGCATGCAATGAATTCGTTTTACTTAATATTTTAAAAATCAAAATAAAATAACCAGTGAAAATTGATAGTACACACGTATGCATCACATGAATATAATAAGACTAAGATAATTACATTAACTTGTACACTAAACAATGCCACAGAGTATGTACTTTGTAATCATACTATGAATTTGTAAAGTACATTGATAAGGAAGTAAACATAGAACAGTTTAATCAATGTAATAATAATTTTAAAAAGATGGAAATATTCTTTATTAAGTTATAAAATGTTTATATGAAGAATACCTCACACTACTAACTGATTTTTCCAAAGCATAACAGTTAATTAGTCTATCATAAAACAATAAATTTGTAGACATGACCGATGCTATCATGTTGATCAATAAGAATAGATACGGACAATTCTATTGATTTAGAAAAAACAAAACAATTTTGGTAGTACATTGAAAAAAGTAAACTATTTTTAGTCAGCTCTCTAACATGGATAGAAAAGTTCAAGTATATGCTTAACTAAATTAAGTTACATGGTGTTGAATCTACAAATGTTGTATTTTATTTTAGAAAAAAATGATACGGAGGATTTTAACAAAACAAAGATGACACTGATAGTTGCTATTATCCGAACGAAGAATAGATGAACGGCAACTCCTAAGAACTATTATCACATATATTCCTACTTGATACCTATTAAGTAACTAGGTTATATGTATGTTCATATCCCTTTTGCCATAAGCTTTCATTTGACCTATTGGTTAATGCAATAAGATTTCAATAGTTGAGATCATGAGTCAATACGATTTACCATTATTTAATTATTCTCAACTTATCAGTTAAAGTATCCCACACTCACAGCCACTTTTGTCTTGATCTTTTATAATTATTATTTTTCATTTTATGATGTGATGCGGTCTAGTCTGTTTGCATATAAAATATGTATGACTAATATTTACGATTTACACAGAGAAGGCTGATATTTGTGTTCTGGGCTGAACGAGCTGGTCGAGGCGAGCAGTTACTATACAGAGAAACAATAAGGATTGAGAGTTGACTCAAGGCTGCTAATGCTGTTTGACACGAAACAAGTTCATAAGAGTCGGTATTCTGAATGGCGATTCGTCATGTGGTATTTGACGGACCATAGGATATGAAAATAGTCGAATGCAATAAATTCATTGGGTTTCGTTATTTTCAATCAAATTGCATAAAAGTTAATATGTTTAATTATTTTCAATTGATGACATAACGTTAAAAATGAATTGTCAATCAACCTTGCAATGGACAGGGTTTTGCATATACAGGAAATTAAATGTTATGAATTACAATAAAATATATTATAGTATGGTCAGTATCAAGTAACTATGCAAGATATTATTAGACAGAGAAATTATATAGTTTCAGTAAATATAAGTTTTACATATCCTTGATAGAATTATCACAATCAACACTAATGACAATGATTATTGAATTAATAAAATGTTCGCACACAACCGATTCTTGAATCTCGACAATGAATAGACTTTGAAAACGAAAGAAACCTCGGGAACAAGAACTCTCTCACAAGGTAGGTATGACTGATAAGGTTGGACAAAAATAACACAAACGGCATCACGGATAATAGACCTTTATACTAAGAAAGATACGCACCTAAGTTTTATAGTTTCTTATCGAATCTATATTTCAATCTTTAGCATTTTATGTAATTTTTCTAAGAAATTAAATCAACCGACTAGTTGTTTATTTAAATATTGGGAAACATTAATTTTTCTGATCATATTGTCACAAAATAATTAATTACTAAGCAGTCTCTGTAAAAAAACATAGATGTTTATTTTGAGTTTAAACAGTAAGACATAAGATAGTTCATGACTATTCAGAGAAAACTGCCAAAAATTTTAAAACAAGAATTTTTTAGACAGGAAGAGTTCGTAAATGAAAACGATTTAAATGATCACATCTGTGTGTGTGTGAAAATCTATAAACGTTATGATCTGAATGATATAGAAACATTGCCATTTTGTATATGCACAAAACAATTTGAGCGAAATTAAATAAAATGGAGACCTACTATAACAACCATTGACAATGATAAGGTAAATGAAATTAATCACATCAAATACGGCTAATGAAGTGCGCTGTAATACAAGTCATTATCTACTATAATTTGCAGTTTAACAGTGCCAAGATTAAGAAATTCAATTACAGATACAAAAATGATGGTGAATATCAAATGGTATGATATTCCTGAATAAAAAAGACGCCCATCTTTACTAACTGCAATGATATAAATGTAAATCAGTGATTGGATCATGAATAAGGTTTCGTCTAGTGTTACTGTTCTTCCAAACACCGAGCCACATCATGTGTTGATTAGATCCGAGAGAATTCCTGGAGTTTCAATCAGAAGCCGTGGCCACTGGAGTCTACTCATGTCAGATGTGAGAAAGGTACCCACCGCATACAATGGAATATAGTCGCACGACAGCAAGATTGGGTTGAAGTTAGCCTTGTATACCAAGAGATCCCGGCTCAGTGATCTAGAGATTAATCGACCGAGCGAGAGATTCAAGGTGTCAGGTTTAACCTCTGGTAAGAGGTCGTAGATATTCGTTGCTAAACAGCTGTCCATTCATTCAATGGCTCTTTGTCTTACATTGATTTGCAATCTCGATAACATGTCAGATTTGTCACGTTGAAACAATCAGAAGCTTTTTCCACAATCATAATAAATACCTATATTGTTAGGATCAGGAAGCGTGTGAGGAAGAAAACAGAAATAGTTGACTTTTCAACTTACATTTTATTAACTACACCTATACACTCGACGGACACGTTTCACTATTGCCTATTTAAATCTCCTTGTTAAGTCTGTTTTTTCCTCAGCTAGCGATTCAAAAAGTAAGAAATGAATTAAATTCATAAAAATCTAAAGAACTGTTTATCATTGTTGTTTTGTTCACATTATCATATAAATCGTCAAAAATGATTGATACGTGATCATGTTTAACATAATCAACATATCGAAAAAATAGATAAATAAGTAAGAATGGAATAGTTTCTTATTATGTTTAATATGAATAGAATAATTAATAAATTTCATGCTAATACTCGTATAGGCAAACTAATGTGTGCTTTTTCAAAACAAAACGAATACATATTTTATACTACTGAAATGAAAACAAAGTAGCACATCTTGCTGATGAAGAAAACCAAATAAACGGACACAAACATTAAGTTTGAAAGACATGTATGTATAATAATAGTAATAATAATGAAAGTAATAATAATAATAATAAGATGGTACAGTCAATATTTAAATGAATAAAACAAAAGTAACATAAATATACAAACTTGATTGAGTTCATACAAAAAAAACGCACAAATACGGTTATGTGACGATATCTGTCATCACATGAACACAAACTCATTAGCGTATGGGATTCACATACACACATACAAGTCTATATGAAGAAATAATTCAAAGAAGTATAAAGTAAACATTAAAACAGTAATAAATACATAAAAAGGCAAAATAATATATAATAATTAATTTGTGTATACACTGTGAAGGAAGTGAAGTAAAAAAGGGTAAAGATTATGCAATTAATTTATGACAGCTCAAACAATTTATTATAGATCAGTTAGATTAGAAGAGAAATTTAAACGAAAGAGCAGAGACAAAACAGTAGTAATTTGATATTATGAAAGGATAAATGATGAATAAGTGTTATTAAGAAGGTTTAGTTGATAGATTAGTTGAGGATTGTGTAGGCGATGACAGACTGAAACGTTTAGAAGATGGAAAGTGATCCCTTTGATTATTATTACCATTATTATTATTATTATTTAATGATGTTGTGCTGAAATACGGAGCAATATTTTTATTCAACAATGTATGGCATACATCACATACAACAGCCGGATGACCAAATGGTCCAGCTGGCATAGTATTCTTTGTACAATTGGAACAATGAACTTTACCACAATGACGACAATTGATTTTTTTCGAATTGTTACTATTAGAAAGTCCAACTGGAAATGCTGAATTACACGAAAAACAGTTGGTCACGTCATCTGGACTAATCCATCTTACTTCTTGATCTTGTTGTCTCAATCTTTCCAGTTGAACCTGAAATAAATTTAAAAGCACAACATAAAAAAGACCGAAAACTACATAATGGAAATGTAACTTGAAGAACCCCGCCCGCCCTCCCTCCCTCTCGAGATGCTCTCACACGGCCACGCGTGTACAGCCTCTGCCATGCAAGTCCTACTCACTGCCTTCTCGTGGCATTACTGTTGCTTACGAAATTGAGAGGACGAAAAGCGAATGTCCGGCGCTTTAACCGGATTCCAAAACAATGGTGCACATAGGCTCCAGTATCCTAAGGGAACCGTCTACCATGGGACTGCATCTCCTCACGATGCTCCATTGCCTTGTGGGTGAGACCTTTAGGTACAAGGCTCGGGGTGTGGCCCCCTAAGAAAACCACCTGCTTCCGTCTGGGCACCCGGGTCGTATCCCAGCCCTCACACAAATCGGATGATTTATGTGGCGCATATCTGCTTGGTGCCTCCTTGTACCAATGTTTTGTGTTTAAATAAATAAATAAATAAGTGACTCTTAAATATATTCGTTCATTTGTTCAGTGTTTCGTGAGCACGATACGTCGTTAGACTAACAACTCATTATACTAGGTAGATGTCAATAACTCAGTCTGATGAGAAGCCACTATTCCATCACATCGTCCCCTTGGATGTTATCAATCCATCGGTACAAACCATTATTTTAACGCTGAAAACTTACGGGTAATAAGAGGAACACTTTGTTATCAGATAAGTTATTACGCTGAAATATAAAAATTATTTGACTAATCTGAAAGGTGACGTGTTTTCTCTATTAAAATTTTGATGACTTCGAGAAGTCTATCTTAAGGCAAGTGACAAGTGTGTTGTTTTGTAAATGACCAAATTGAATGGTATTCGTGGTGTATTGTGAATACAGTAAAGTTTGAATATGCACGATTATAGGATTATGAATCGAAAATCGAATAATAACACAATTCCGATGGAACTTAAAGCTTTCCATACACGATAAAGGTGTCCAGATTAGGAAGGAACAAAAAGTCAATGCTCTGGATTATTATTTTAGCGACTGTTTTTAAAACTGATATGGAGAGCCAATTAGAAGTAGTAAAAGGTCAATCGATGGCAATCAGAAGTCACCTAAAGGTCAAGTGCATTTCATTGGGGTCAATGTGTTAATTTTCTAAGGATAGAGTCGTATATATGAATGAACATTTGTGCAATTCATTCGGTAGTTCAATACACTTTCTCGCTCAAGTAGTCAGTCGGGGGTTAGCGTGTAGTACACTGTGCGTCACAATAAAAACAATTAATGCTGTTTTTATAATAAAAAAGATCCAGTTAACGATTCACGCAACCTGATTAAGGTAATCCTATGAATGGGTTCATGCAGAAAACAACAAGTGACGAGTATGATTCTACTGATAATAACAATTATAATAGTTTTTGTATTGTTTACTTGAATCTTCCTATTGATGTTTAGGACTGCAATTGATCAGTCTCTTATTGGCATATGTGCATCCTGTGTGGATTGCCTCGACATTACTTCAAGTCACAAGCATTATGAATAGAGATGATGGTTTACAATCATAAAAGTTGTTTTAAAACATCAACTTATTGGTCAGTAACCCTAGATATAATCATACAAAACGGAACACTTTACATGTAAGTGAAACCAAATTAAATGAATAGGACTCACTTGTAAATTTTGTGACAAACGAACAAAATCAGCTTGAACCGATTCCACATTGTCTAAATCATTTTGCAATCGAATAACTTGATCTTGTAGATCAATAATTCTTTTCTGAGCTTCAGTTAAATTAGTTTCAGTCAGTTCATATTTAGCCTTTTTTAAAAAAGAATAGAACAAAATGTAAAAGTAGAATTTAATTATAGAGAGATCATATGCTGTTGAAAAGTCAGAAAGACCACGTGTTGTTTGAAGACAATATAGTAGGTAGAAGATGTATGTATAGGCGGGCTAATGTGGGTGAGTAAATTGTTCAACTGGACAAGGACATCAGGCAAAAATTTTTTAAAGTATCCACAATTGTACCGCAGTCTTAATGTCATTGAAAAAAAGTTGTTCCGTTAGTAGGATGAGGTTATTTTTTGAATAAATCACATTATTCTACTCATGAATATAGATTTTGTCTGAATCAATCGCTCGTTGACATCGCTATCACTGAAAAGGCGTTCTAACAGCAACCTCTGGAATCTCCAGGCATTGTAAAGAGAAAACAACTTGTTACATTCTAACGTGGAATCATTTGAGAGTTGTTCAAGTAAATTTACGCTTAAATCAGGCTATCTACAGCATATAATGCAGATATGAAAGTAGTGTAGAAACATGTTGAGATATTGTATTATCTGTGTTAGCGGATACTCATATACCAATTTGAATTCACGGGCTTCAGGCAAATTTCTCGAGGCTAAAGAAACAGTGAATCCATAGGTGTTTTACCTTCAAGTGCACGGTCACCTCACGCAATAGTGAGTAATGTTGAAGTGTTGCCCGTTATGGTCTATATATCCTTATATATATAGACTTTCTCATCATTATTTTTATTAGATTATTTTGTTTTAGCTAATCTTCCCGATATGGCATGACAACTTGGACCAATGTATATTTATGCTAGGTTCTACATGGACTATAACTAACTGATTAACTGTTATGACAATGATAGAAAAGAAGTAATAATCTATATGCATACGTAAACACGCACCTGTATTTCATTCAACTTAGATTTGGACATTTTTAATTCATCTTCACATTTCTGTCTTAGAACAGTTTCATTATCACGTTCAGTTGTAATATTGGCAAGATCAGCTAGACGTCTACGTGCATCTTCCAATTCTTGTAGAATTGACGATTCAAAATTAATACGCTCTTGTTGTTCATTTGCTAGCTGTTCTCTGTGAGTTTCAGTTTCCTTCTTTAAACATTCTTCTAAATGATCACGTGCTTCACTTTATTGTGAAAATCAAAAACACTAACAATATGTATACATTTAAATGTATATAAATGAAGTTTCTAGTTATGTATATCAACATCAAACCAAATTGATCACAATATTTTAATTGAAACAAAGATTAATCTGTTTATCGGTATGGAAATCGTGGAGACTATCAAGGTCAAAAATGCCTCATTTAAACAAACATTAAGAAACTAGAACTATTGGGCAGCTGTTTCGTCCCAGTATGGAACTCATTGGCAGTGGAAATCTATGACCCCGCCACCAGAAATTGCATACTACTGGGGAGCCCCACGCCGGGAAGAAACAGTCATTCAATGGTTTCCCAATGCTTGTAACCTCAATAAAATTAATACAGATCATTGAGAGATCATTTAAGTTTCCTAATCAGAACTTGGATTCGTACTACTACTGCTGTATGGTCTAAATAATCTTCCACTGGACAAAATTTATTCGGTTGTTGCTGGATAGACCAGTACTAATCACTCAAACTTTTTAATTACAATTTCAGGTTGTTTAAAATTTACCTAGATTTGTATATTACTAAATAGTATTTCCTTTCTTATAGTATCTAAGGTATAGTTTTTAGATATTTTTTCACCTTACTCCGATATAAGGCACAAAATGACCGCAATACTAACTGAGGGATATGTATGTTGCAGTAAAAATCTTATCCGACAATGATTAATAATTCGAAAAGAAACTATTTGCTGGGTTTTTTTAAACGAAATATTATCAGACACATTGGGTAACAAGCTCTCACTTTCAGTTAAAGAGATAAACAGAACTAATATGTGAACACTTGAAAAGCAGAACTAGTAAACAAAATGGGAATACATCGTAGAGAAAAATTATCCAGAACGTGTAGCGAAATTTCTTAATTACCACAGACAATTAAGTATCCGAAACAATTTTTAGTAGGAGGAAAGTTTATCATAGTCAATAGGTTAATTACGAAAACTGATCATAGTAAAAACATACAAAATCGGAACCTATGTATGAGTATATACTAAGAGAAGCATCTCAGAAACATTGGATCGTGAGAAAATTCAATTATAATTAGAAAATATTTAGCATACGTGTGGGTTCGTTTAAATTATTTATATACACTTTCAGTCGACCATTTAATATGGAGTGAAGATAAATTGCAAAAATCCCCTGCAGAGTCTATTAATCGTGAAGACTCAGTGAACTCGCAAATGAGATCATCATACACTGACAAAAGTTAATGCAGATTAGTTATTCATTCAGTCAACAATGCAGAGAATAGGACTTATCACAAGTCAAATTACTTTGAACTGGACATCAATAAGTGGGAATATTGATATAATTAGAACACATTTAGTTTTCCCTGCACCGCTTCAAGTTATATTTTACGTATCTGACGGCTAATTATGTTATCCAGGTGGAGTGACGTTGAAGATTAGCTACTTCAACTACTAAGCTCAATAATGTACAAATGTACATTATCACCTTGAGAACAATGTCCATGTTTATTGGATTACACTAAACTGACGAACTAATTAGATTAACGAAAAAGAGCTCGTAAAAACTCAATATCCTGTGACGGCTAGCTTGTACGTAGTTAGAAGTAAAGTAAAACCTACCAATAACTAGTTACGAGAACACTTAGAATAATTAGATGTAGCGAAATTGAAGAATAAGAACAAACTTAAGCAATTACAAAAGTGATCCCGAGAAAGTTATTCGCGGTGAGACTATAATTTATGGACGACCTTCGAACGACGCTAAAGAGATCTTGGGAATGTCAGCCTATATACTACAGATAAATGACGGTTATAAAACAGTGTGAGGAATTAAGATTAATATTTACAGTTGATAGTTAGGGTTAGGAATCAGATATAGGGTTTTCATCACGAACTGATATCAGCTATAATGACAAAACTCTATTTAGCCAAATGAATGAATTGATTTCGCGCCAAAATTCAAGACCTGTTATCGTAAATCTGATTGGTTCATCCACAAATTATAGTCTCGCTTAATTAGCTTTTCCTGAGAAAAAATAACAGAAAACAAATAAAATTTATATAACATTTTGACATGGCTCATTAACTTTTCAAAGTAGCTTAAACGATGTTCGGATTCAAGATTAAAGAACTGACTGCGTAAATAATTTTTCATAAGGTAAAAAGCCATAACTCGTAACCATAACGTAAACTCATAGCTGTCTGATCTACATAACAATTTGTCAACGAGCAAAAAGGGAACCACAAGCAAACAAATATAGAAACCGTCGCATTTCGACAAAAATCCGAAGACTATACAAAACTGAGAACAACTGTTACAAGGGTTGAGGGAAACTAATTCTGATGATAAATATTGTATGTGTACGTAAATATTTTAGAACATAACAAACCTGTGTTACCACATACGCGTAGAAATTGCTAAGAATACAACTATTTACTGAATGTTGATAAGTAGTATAAAACAATGCACACAAAAAACGAGCTGGTAAGAGAAAGATAAGGACAAAGAACGTAAACAAACACTTGACATAGGACTATGAAAATAAATTTTGTAGTCGAGGAAAAAATTCACCAAAAAGATTAACAGAAAAAAGTCACACTTACCGAAATGATAAGTTTTCTTCATATAATTTTAACGTCAAATGTTCTAATTCATCTTTCTCATTAGGTAATTGAATTGGTTGTCTACTTAATTCAATAGCAGCTTGTGAACGTCTACCAACCAGAGCATCATAATGTGAACGAAGAATTTCTAGATTTGTACTAGCAATTTTACGCTCAACTAATAAAGTGGATATTTCTTTTTCAGTTGTTTCGCGATAAGACTTCAAAAAAGTAATCAAAATAATCAAATATGTACAATGAGTAATAATCAAGAAAAAAAAGAAATGAAAGGAAATACAATAAATAAACAGGAGTAACTATAAAGAAGAGTTTTTAATTCCCTTTTGTTGTAAACATTTATGACTGCAATTGATTGGTTTCTATTATTATATGCATATTTGAAGTGTATCATCTCGACGCAAATATATCAAGACTTATGACAAAGGACTATATCGAAGTGATCCACCCAAGCATATATGAGTAAGGAGATTAATTACAGTTCTGAAAATCAACATAGAGTAATTACAAATCTTTAGATATTAATCTTTACATAGAATCAGTAGGTTGTTGGATAAAAAGTTAGGGTTTAAAGCGGAAAATACTGGGTTCGAGTCTAAACGTCAAAATCAACACTAGGACCCAGGTACATCCATCTGACAAGTCCCAAGTAGGACGAAACTCGAATACTACATCCCACTACTAGCAACAAGTCAAATATACAAAGACGGAATTAACTATGCTACGAGTACACATTCATATACAACTGTAGAAAATAATGGTTATTGCACTTTCTATCCCTTTAAACGAAGTCAAATGGGTCTTGCAGAAAACTTATTACAATGAGGGATAGACCCCACAACCATTACACATACAGAAACTCTAGGGGTCATTAAGTTGATGTTTATTACGTTAAAACCTGCTTCATAAAAAGAAAGTAAATAAATTTTTGAGGTCCAACACCAAGAAATGATTATGAATCATGGATAACAACATAACTGTCTTATTCCTAGTGGTTCATACTCCTATCTATATACGAGACTGGATAAAGAAATTCTCGACTATTTAAATCATGATAAAGCAACCTGTTAGATAATTTTTAGGGACAGATGGGTAATGAGTTGTACATTAACCACAACAGTAAGAAATGTTAGATGATTCTGCTGCAAAATAGAATAAACTAAAAATTTACCAATAACTATGCAAATACGTGTTATTGGAAAAGAATTCTTGTCAAATAATTAAATGAAATCATTTAATCGCTTAAAGATCCCCATCATATTAAAAGAGTAATATTTGAACGAAGAATATTCTTTACCCTTAAATTAGCCATTTTTCGAATTATTAATTTGGATATATAATTGTAGAACCTGAAGAGAATTTATCGGAAAGAATATTTTTCGTTCAAATATTAGTCCTTTAAATAAAACAAATAAATAGAAAACTCACTTGGTAGTTTAACTGCAAACTATCTAATCGTTGACCCAACTGATTAGAAATTGTACTAATTTTTTCTATTTTAGATGTTTGTTCAGCAACTTGAGTTTTAAGGGCATTTTCCAATTCTAATTGACGATCTGTAGCAACTTTCAAAGCGTGGCTTTTCAAATCTAATTCATTTTTAACGGTGGAAAGCTGTTTTTGTAAATTTTTCTAAACACAGTGTTTATTGATAAAAAGACAATAAACAAAATCTGATATTATACATAACCAAAATTGTTGTATTTTTAGGGAATACTGAACGGTAAGAGCTTAAATTTACTTCAAAAACTCTTGGTCATTTTTATATGATTTCGCGGGAAAAATATACATTGAACGACATTTTTGAAACTGCTTTGAGTATTCAACAAAGACCACATGCTATGTGCATACAGGGTGGTGGTAATGGTCCAGTGGTCAAGGCGTTCAGGTTTCGACCTTAAAATCGCTCACACAAATTATAAATTGTTGTTTTAAAAGCAGACAGAATAATACATATATCGTTATATTTGCTTCGATCATGCTTTCTCTCAGTCTGATTCGACAGGATTAAGAATCATGCTTTAACAAATCCCAAATAATACAACTTTTATCTTTACATTAGGGATATAGGTAATAACAATAATATCGGCTATATTCGATACTATATTTTTAGTACAATATGAAGTTCTCATGATCCAATATTACAAACAATCACCCGTCATATTCGTCGCATATATATATATGAAATCATATAAAATTAAGTGGATATATCAGAAAATAATAATCTTTGCAACGATGAATACGCCGAATGTTTAAAACCATACATTTTCTACTAGGTCAGCCCTCACGATCTGTTCGTCAGATAATATACGTGCAAGACACGGTATTGTGGAGCTTTTGCATTTCTGAGTGCATAAATTTAAATATACCTAGGTTGTTTGTCAAAAGTTATATAAAGGGAAAAATATGAATGTACCTGGCAAACCTGCGCCTGGCCGTTACTTGCAAGATTTTAAATGTCTATTCACAACTATATCCATAATGACATCACATGGTGATAAAAACTATATGCTCATTAGTGATGAATTTTAATAAGGTATTAGGATTTAACAGTATCAAGAATAAAGTAGTCTATTCATACAGATGCCATTAGTTGATCATTGCACAATGTTCTGAACTGATGAGAGATAGGAATGTGGATTGTTAGGTTCCGACCCTTGGACCAATAGTGAAAACACTTAGGATAACATATATAATGATACAAATATGGATAATAATAAACACGAAAAAGTAAATAAATAAACAAACCATTGTATCGGTTAGGTAGATTTGCCCTTCAAAAGATGTAGAATGATCACACATTGGTTGTGTGACAACAGTCGATTGAGTATTTCTGTCATCATCCGAATTGATATGATCATTACAATTATCAGGTGATTTGTGCATAGAATGCTTTTCTGTCATTTGGTCACATGATCTCTGAATTGAATTACTCGGATTACTAGCAGGATCAACCATATTATTATTATTATTATTATTGTCAATATTGTTTCCAGAAATTTCTATCTTCATATTTGAATTATGAGAAATTTTATTGACAATTTTCTCCTCTGATAACTTATAACTTGTTGCTGAATCTAAAAAAATTACCATTTTCATGATACGAATAAATGGTGTATAATATGAAGGGTATTTACATTATAAACTGACATAATATTGGTGAATCTTTGAAAATCACACAGCAAGCATTGTTTTATGCTAGATATGTACAAATCACGAGTTTGAACTAGTGACCTTACCTATGTGAGACTGAACTTAAGCTTCTTATTTTTCTTAGTCTTACGACATAATATCATTTACTCATTGAACTAATAATGATATCCAACATTTGGTAGTGGCTAAATAACAGATACCTTCAAATAAAAAAAAAACTAGATTATTCTCTATCAAAATGAGTTATAACCTTGTCTACAATCTTCCTGCTAAAAATAAAGGAATATAAAATGCACACAGTAACGTTAAAATTCATTCAAATATGATCAATTAAAAAAATATTGATTGATGTCAAGACCATATGTACCTTCGTTAACAAAAAAGAAATATAACTGATACAGCTAAATTAGTACAATTTAATTCACCTTGAAAACGCCAATAATTTAAGAATTGAATATTAAAATAACAAACGAACAGGACAGAAGAACAATCAGACATGCAAACACTAATAAACTCAAAAAAGCAGAATATGAAGATATCACACCACCACCACCAGCAACAATCATGCCATAAGATTTTTGTAATGATGAAGAGAAAAACAATTGTTTTTACGTTATTTATATTTATTTTTAATTAATTGTCCACTACTCCAGTTAATATAACAGATAACCAACTGACGTCAGCAAATAATCGATTAATTAATTAACTAAAAATATTAATTTTGACTAGAATTGATCAAGTCATCATGACATACAGATTTATGCATGATTACACCTGAACAGTTTGCTTTTATTTACTTTGGAAAAAACGAACTAATAAACAAAGGGAAGAAAGGAGGATGTAAACAAGAAAGATTGAAGTGACCTAAAGAGATTTGACAAAAAAAGGGTTTCGTCGAATCAAACTACATTTGGTTACATTCCCAGGTAACGTGACTCACACAATCTGTTGTAGTGGCAAACAGATGGATCCCGAGACTCTGAATTTCAATATAATTACATAACTTCCTCCCGAAAATTCATTCCTATTTTTTTCTTGAACTCCTTCATATTTAAATTCATTGTAGCATTATTGATTATTTCAATTCCTTTGGTATTTATTTACCTTGCTTTGTTGATGCGATGTGATAATACGGGCTGACGGACGTCTATACACCAGGTCTTATATTGATGATGACTGACTAGACATTTCACGATCGTTTTATAAAACAAAAAAACATTTAACAGGTTGATGATGAATAAATCTATGTCAGAATAAGTGAACAATGTAATTTTTGTCTTGAAATTGGGAAAAAAATTATCAAAAAACAGCAAACTAGTAAATCAAAACAAAGGCAGATCGTAGTCAAATATTAAAGTGAATAAGATGGAAAGCCTGATGACAGTACTGTTCGCTAACTAATAAGTAACTTCATTTGATATAAAATATTAACATAACAGTTTATAGCTACGAAACCAAAAAAATTGCAAGTTTTTTTTATGAAACTCAGACAACAAAAGGAATATATAAGAGTATTATTTATCGATCGAGAATCCTATGGCTTTGGTGTTTGAAGTGCTCTCCATTACCAACGATTAATATTTCAGATTCAAATCTAGCTACACCTTATCTAGCCAATCGAATAACAAGACTGCTCCTACCACAATATTTGGAGTATAACTCAAAGACAATTAGACAAGTCTACACTTGGGAAACAAGAACTATAGTCAAATAAGTTACAATATTATTTTGTTTTAATCGATATACTACTAAATTGAGGATGAATAAAAATTACAAACTGACTATTAGAATGATAGCATAAATTTAATACACAATGAATGTTGAATTACTTTAATTTCTACAATACTGTAATATTCCAGTTTAAAATGTTTTGCTTAGCGAATTTTATAACATTTCACAGTTGAATTTGCACCATCGAAAACCTCGAAGCACTTGTCGGACGAGACAGTTATCCACCTCAGAGAATGACTGAAGAGTTGCGTAAGACCACTGATCGATTGTAGTTAAATATTAACACCATCGGATGCCGGCTCAGTGGTCTAGAGGTTAAGCGTTCGAGTGCAAAACCGAACATCTTGGGTTCGAGTCCAGCGTGCGGGGTCGAGGGTGCGCATTGCTTAGGAGTCCTATACTTATATGAAGCGGCATTTCAGGTGTTTCCTTAATTTTAATGATGGTTTAGCTTAGATCGACTCGTGAATTCAACTGCTAAATGTACTAAGATCTCCAGATATCCCCATTCTGAAAATATAATTGTATTTATCATATACTGAGAAATAAGTCATGATGTCATGATGTTATAACGCGGCGTTTAATAAGTCCACATGAACTCAGAAACTTTTAATTGTTTATTCGAGAACCAGATATCAATAATAACAACGTATATGGACAAAATATAGAGTAGGAACCGATGGAAAAATAATTAATATAGAATAGTTTACAATATATTTCTGTAGTACAAAAGAGTATATCTGTCTACCACACTTACTAGCCAATTATAGTTTGGTTTGACCAAACGTTCCAAATAGAGTAATTAGGCTTTAAAACTAACTTGATATACCAATACATTTTCTAGCAATGTAACTTAAATAAAAAATAATTTGATAGCACCATTTGTCAAATATATTGTACACAGATTGATAGACAACTACACAAATTTACCAATTGAATCGAAAATAAAAAAGACCCCAAATGGCCTGGTTCGATCGATGGTGGGAAGAGTTAGCTCTATTACTCTTAGTGCTCTCACATGGCCACGCATATATAGCCACTGCCAGGGAATTCCTACTCACTGCCTTTTCGCAGCAGGGATGTTGTTTACGAAATTGAGAAGAGGAAAAGCGAATATCCGGCGCCTTAATCGGGTTGGTGGATGTAGAGGACCCACCTAGGGCAGTTGGAAAACCCTGATTCCAAACCAATGGCACATATGGGCTCCAGAATCCTAAGGGACCAAATGGCATATGAACCTATTGTTGGCCACAGGCTAACATACGACTGCATCTCCTAACGTTGCTTCACTGCCTTATGGATTAGACCTCTAGGTTAAATGCTCCGGATGTGGCTCCCTGAGGAAACCATGTTGTTCTGGCCTTCACACAAATGGGATGACGAAGTGTGGCGCATGTGTATTTGGTGCCTCTTTTTACCAATATTTATATGTTTAAATAATAATAATAAGGAAATAAAATTACTTTAAAGTTTCTTCTAATACATCGCACGCAACTGATGCCGAATATATTTATTATTATTCTGTACAAATAATAATATATACTAAACTCACGTATAATGAAAAATTAACAATCGTTAAGTGAATAATATTGAAATATAACAACACATAAAAGAAAAAACACTGTAAACTCCCACTAGAATATTATAACTTGTCTATAAAAATGCATTCCATACGTTACGTACGATATACATGATTCGTTTTTAAAAACAAATGTTTACGTGCAGTTTTTCTAAAATTAAGAATATTGGTGAGAATTTTATTGGCTATACTAAGAATATTAGCAGCGTATTATGAATTCCTATACTAACAATAATTATAAGCACCCTAGCGAATAACTCCGAAAGGTAATTTTTAGGATTCTAGTCAGAAGTCTTGACTAGTGGGGTGCAATCGTATCAGAAATGAAGCAGCTACTCATGAATTAGAGTGTAAGACAGTTGCGCAATAATACGAATTGATTAACGGTAGAAATGTAAACGATTGGCTCGCAACTCAGTGATCTTAAAGTTAAAAACTCGCTGGGAAGCCTGAAAGTCCTAGGTTCAATCCCTAAGAGATGGTGCATGTGCACTGTTGAGGAGTCTCATAATAGAAAAAACAGCTGTTCAGTCCCTCCTTTTCCGCCTTCATTGTTTGGCTAATTAAGATAAGTTTGTTATGTAAGTTTTAAAACTCCCAAGAATGGTATAAAAAAATTTTACGAATTAAAAAATAAAATTACATTTCAAACCCAGAGAATAAACTTAAACGTATGACTGAATGAAGTGGTGGATTGAAGTGGATCAAAGTACTAACCATCCAACCATTAAAACGCAGATTCAAACACAGCTGCTCCGTTTATTTTAGTTTGGTAAATTGAGTAATATTACTAAATTTTGGAGAAACTTAGTGACTCGATGGTGAGTACATAGATCTGCACTTACCAAATGAGTTGAATTATTTTATTGACTAATATAGTGCAGAATCAAACTGGTTGGATTATCAGAACTTTGAGAATTTCAACGATGAACTTTTACATTCAATCAACACTCTACTGAGAAAAGAATAGCCAATTGTATGTTTCTTTGACAGTTTGTTAATACGCTAATTGACTGCAATAATAAAACATAACAGATTACTATACAGTTTCGAATACGTATCTAATAGGACAAAGAAACACAAAATCATTTAACTACAGCACAATAAACAGAGCATTATCAAAATAATTAATTTACCATATCAGTAAGCGAATATTCAGTCTTAAAAAGTAAGAAATCATTAATGCAGAGAGGTAAAGGTTACAAGCGAGAATGATGTTGTCAGTGCAAGAGAAATGGAAGCATTCACCTAAAAACAAGCGCCTGTGGTAACACAAACAGATAAATTTAAACTAGAATATTAACAATGGAAAAATGCAAAACTTAACAACCAATAATACACAATAAAGATTTTCAACATAAATACAGTCAAGTTTGAATGAATGACATAATTTATATACTTCATTTCTGAATTCATTCCCCCCCCTGATCTAAAACATCATGTAGTTAAAAGTTACCATCTTTTCTATTGTCCAAACAAAGGACGCTCTGTCGAAACAGAGTGTTTAGTATCAAATGTTAGCTACTGTAGTCAGATGTAGTTATTAACGAATTAATTTTTCACTAAGTGTCTCATATCACAAGTTGATGACATTGGGGTAACTTGTCTGTTATAATATGTCAGTTTATTATTATTATTATGATGATGATGAAAATTCATGTTAACGCTTTTACAACAGAGATAATAAAACGACTAGGTAAGTTTAGAATTAATTGAGTTTAGTGTCAATAGTCTTTATACAATGCGTCTTCCTATAATAATTGAGGTTGTACTATTATGGTGGTCAATAATTAACTCCTTACCTTTTCAAATAATCTTCCAGTAAAAAAAGGCTAAAGACAAGTTCATTGTTCAGTCATAACTATCAGTAACACTGTATACCTGTTTTAAATTGAATCTACTTGTTAAAAAACCTATAAAAGTCAATTACTTATATAATCATAAAAAATTAGGACAATAAACATAATGAATGAATTACTAAACACATACTAGGATGTAATATTGTCTTAGTGAATGGAATCGAAGCATTGATCAAAATTTGTTGTAGACGTGTAATTTCTGTTTCGTAAGGTTCAATTATTGCTCGTATATAGTCATCATCATTATCCTCCTCTTTGTTTGAACCAATGTCATGATTTGCCCAAAAAGATGAAACAGTGGATTTGTTTAAAATAAAATTATTCGTTAGTGCTTTATGACCAACACGTCGAACTAATTTCTCTACTTTATCCAATGCTTGATTAGCTAAACTTTGAGCTGACTTTTTTTCAGTGATAAGAAGTGATGATTTGGAGGTTGGACAATTCTCATTTTCAGTTGGTGATGAATGTGATGTATCGTTTGAACATTGACCATCTATAAACTGATGTAAATAACCCTATGATAAATGAAAAATAGTGAAGAAAATTAGATTTGTGATGAGCTAAAAATTATATGGTTGGGCTAAACTATCGAGTTTAGGTTCATCTAACATCTACTGAGACAAAACATTGTGGGTGTAAATGCTTAAAGTACTTCACTTAACTATTCATATTTATGTTAGCAAGACAAAATTGAGCAAATGGGACACTAGAATTTCCAGAGTTACTAATAATGGCTTTTAATGGATCTATATTAGACTCCAGGTAGATCGTTTGCCGCTTGTTACCGAAGTATACATGTCGCCAATCCTCGTATATAACCATCGACTTAAATTACGTTAAGGAATAACGGAATTAAATAAGCCAAATACAAGAATGAAGTTTTGAATATGTATATTTTGTACAATGGTTGATCAGAACAGACAGTCAGAGAGACGGAGCGAAAGAAGTAAAGAGAAAAGAGAGAAGCGAAACGACGCACGGTGAAGAAGGCATGTAAGCGAGATCGTCTTAATCATGTGTGACTCGATATTTATAGTCAGACAAAATAAGTTACAGATGTGTGATGAGTAAGATAAGAAATGTATACACAAACGTTCATATAAAAAATCAGTAAGGGTTAATAAGAGAATAAGTGACAGGGTAAAAATATGGTTTGAGAAGATTGAATAGATTGATATGTCCAGAGACTAGAATAACCTATATGTGCTTTACATAGTACCAGCCCTTACAGGCTAAAAAAAATGAATCATTCCCATTCATATATTTATAACTACAGAGAATCGTTCAAGTTAAATCTGGATGGGGTAATATCCAATAGAATCCTAATACACACTAACTAATAAAAAGAAAACATTTGTAATATAAAAACCACAGAAAATATTTATCATGCTTACTGGTCAAGGTTTACAATAATGTCAGTGTACATGCACATAAAATAGAACCAATAAATTATTAATAATCAATGAAAGTACTATGAAAGAAGAGTAAAACAAATCACATACTTATTGTGTCTTGCAACATCTGATAAGCCATACTTTAGAAGATACTAGAGAAATATAGTATTTCTGGAAATTGAATTATCTCATCCAGTGTCAAATTTTAATCAAAAAGTATCATTCTAGTTTATGATACAATAAACAAAAGCCTTGAAGTATAGCTTAATCATTGAGTTACAACATTTAATTAAATGACAAATAATTCAGATTGTAATGCATTTAAAAATCTGTGTAGTTTGAATACCAGTTTTCAGTTTATTTTGATTCAATTCACTCAATTTATTAGTATCGATAGTATAATTTATTAAAACACAATTAATTGATTTTGAAAAGAAATCACTTTTGACCAGTGTATATTGAAGTTTTAAGAACTTGATCCATAAAATGACCTAACTAGTTTCCGTTATGAACACACCAATATTACTTCAGGTGATAGTTAAACTATTATGAGTTGCGTTAAAAAAACTCCAACTATAGTGACTGAGAGATATTTGACCGATTATAAAAGGACCACTACACTGAGTGACAGTCCTCAGAATAGCTATGAGACAGCCAATAAAGTTTAAAGGCATGCTTAACTAGTAGGTATTCGGTTACTGACGGCTCTGTAAAATTGATTAAATATGGTTGAAACATTGGGGTGGCTGCATTAAAAATAACGCCTACATACATTACCATTATCACTATACACTTGATGGATCAAGAATAGTTTGTAAAAGGACTAAGCATAGATGAGTTAAGGCATGACATTAGTCTATGAAGGTATCCGAAGTCATCGTATGTTAACAGATGACAATGTAACATAAGTATCCTTTAATTATATCGCTCTATATTTTAAAGTGTAATTTTTCCAACAATTTTTAGCAATTGGAAATAATCCTTAGTTTGAGAGTCACTGGGTGGACGTACGTGAGATGTGATAAAGCTACCGAGGACAGAGTTCTAGGGTCATAAAAACATTAGGATGATTCCCTTTAATGTGACTAAACACATGTTGCTAGGTCTCACGATGACTGACACAGCGAAAGTAAACTTTCAGGGACAACGATAACTGGATAGGTTCATCAAGGATAGAATTCATCTGACCATCATATAGTTGGAATTACCGTATGGTAGAACTGTCCGTCTGAAACTTTATAACCAAACAAGTTTTTCTCTACACCACTACTACCACATAATTCGCCCAAAGCTGTTTCCAGAATCCTGTCGACGGGAAAATTCAAGACGGAGTCTAAAACTAAGTAACCCTATGTAATTTCAGTGTTGTACTTGAACAATGGGGAAAGGTGGTTGTATACTCTCACTCTTGTGAAACGAGCGATGAACATTTAAATAAACTTAAACAAAACACTATTCAACAGATAATTTCAGAGTAAAATCCCATCCAAGGAATTAGGTGCCACATTGATATCATAAAGTACAATGATTATTGGCCTAAAATATGTACGAATGTTCACGCATTTGATTGAAGGGGGGAAAAAAGATTATCCAATGCCTGACCTGCGCCTCGATAGTAAGTTTATGTTTTTGCACGATCTGCACAGTACGATGAACTAGAAAGTAGCGAAATTGTATCCAGATGGTTATAAATATTGCATACATTTCATAGGCTGTTTCTGAGAGTGTATATAACAACCATTTTGATAAGTGATCGAACACATAGTTTCCCATAACTTTTGCCTGAAAACAATTACTCTTCTTGCACTTCGTCAATACATTTGCTTCAGATGCTTCGGCTGTTCAAAAACGAACAGTTCAAAACCATTTAACAGACCGATGTATTATACAATGAAGAGAGCAAGAATAAAGATTTGGGCAAAACAATATGAATTTATTTTGTTTAGTCAGCTGCTTACAACCTATGTTATCTTAGAATTATCGTGAAAGTTGACATACTTAGTACAGTGAAATCGGTTAGGTGTGAATATGTATCATTATGATGGAATGAGGATTCAAATAAAGGTATAAATTGCTTGATTGTGTAATTATTTCTGTGTTCTAGAATCTTCTCTAAATTACTGTATTTATTTGCAGCACTGCATATTTTCCTAATTTTATTACCTTTATTCTAACCGTAACTTCACCATGCCGGTTCATTATTATCAGTGTGTAAACTATGTTAATGTTGATTTTAAATATTATAGTTTGTAAGTAGCCCACTAAATAAAATGAATTCATGTTATTCGGCTCAAATCTTTATTCTTGCTCTCTTCAAGATTAAAAAGCGAACTATATATATGATTTTAGAAATGGGTTTTTTAATCAAATCACACTACTTGTGTTGATTGGATGAAATAAAATTAATGTATATCACAAGAAGTCTACTACAGGATGTATATAAGTAAACAATGTTAACAGATGATTCCACACTGAAAAATTAGCGCAGAGTCACGCACAATTCTCTAACCAAAAATTCACCTGTTCAGAAGCTATCAGCAGCGAGGACAACTCTTCATCATACTGTCTTTTCAAGGTTAATAAGGCATCCTCATGTTCAGTCATTAACATTTCTGCAGCGCTTTTAATATTTGCCAATTCAAGTTCAAGTTTGACTAACTGTTTTCGTGACTCTACGGCCTCATTCTGTGCATCTTTACAGGCTGACTGAGATTCTAATAGTTCCGATTCTCTGTCTAACAAGACAGATTCTAAACGACGTTTAAGTTCTTCATCGGTTAACAGGTCTAAAATGTTTGAAATAAACGGAGGTAAAGAAGGTTTGATGAAGCCATCGGTTGTATTGCCAGGAAAATTTTCACATACAGGTGTTTTTTCGTGATTCGAATTATGCGATAACATAATTGTTAACTCCACAAAATAAACCAGTATTATTCCACAGATCAATTGAAAACAGTTCCTTGCATTACGAATTTATGGAGAGTGTTATTTGTGTTACTTTTGACAGAGAACTCTAAAAACAGAATGAAGATTGAAATTTCATTGAAATATTATTTTAAGTTTTAAGAAGAGATAATACAATAATGACAACATGGATTTGAACATCTCATACGTTGTATAAACGTAATAAGTAAAATAGACTGTAAAATAACTGTTGCGATTTACCTGAATGACTTAATTTTTAACGATATTTCATAATATTCTGTTGTATGAATTCGATAAATACTGATCACATATTACCTGTTAATCGACAAACAATACAAGTAGAAGTTTAGGATTTTCTAAGTACCGAACTTCAGTGTTTAGAACCCCAACGACACGTATAAGTTTTATACGATTTGTAAACATAAAAAAGGCTATAGCCGTTTAAATGAGTTGGGAATTCGAATTGATTTACTGTTTAAGAATGAAATCGCATGTTATTCCTCATATCACAAAAACAATTAATGAAGGTATAGCCTCTGAAAATTAAATTACTTGAGTTGTATAAAAGATCTGTTATCCAAGAATTTTTAGTCGATCAACAAAAGTTGTTCACATGATAAATGACCTGATTTCGCCACCTCAACGTGTATTTACAAATTCAATCACTCTTGTGGAGAGGTTTCAACGACATTTCCTGTCGGGTAATTTATCTAGTATATTGGTAAGCATTTAGTTGGAAAGAGTCGAATGGAGTTAATACACAAATATACTTTATTAAAATTGACCTATAATAGCTACGTAATAAGCTGGACTAAATAATTCAGTCATTTACCATATTTTTCTTCAGTGTCCAGACGAGATTCAGAATTACCTATCACAAATACATAATTAGGACTATAGATATTCGAAAACTCCGCCAATGAGACTATAATTTATGGACGACCTTCGAACGACGCTAAAGAGATCTTGAGAATGCCAGCCTATATACTACAGATAAATGACGGTTATAAAACAGTGTGAGGAATTAAGATTAATATTTACAGTTGATAGTTAGGGTTAGGAATCAGATATAGGGTTTTCATCACGAACTGATATCAGCTATAATGACAAAACTCTATTTAGCCAAATGAATGAATTGATTTCGCGCCAAAATTCAAGACCTGTTATCGTAAATCTGATTGGTTCATCCACAAATTATAGTCTCGCCACTCCGACTACACCCTATCGAAGAATAAATGAATGGTAGCTGACAGGAATTACTTATGAATTATTATTACACATATTCCGATTAGATAACTATTAAGTAACTATATTAGATGTAGATCAATATTATTTTTATTATAACTCCGCCTGGAGCAAAAGTTAGGTACGTGAGAGGTGTTGTTGTCAAAAGAAGCACGAAATGCACCTGTAGGATGGGAATCTCATGGATCCAGAATCATCAAAGCATCATTCAAAACAAAGGAGGAGAGCACAATGAATGTTATCCAATGATATGCACACACCAATGATAGCAACGACAATAAAAATCAATTCTATGAAACGCTGCAACCAATCATGGCGAAGTGTCCAATAAAGGACCTCACCATTCTGATAGGAGATCTAAACGCCAAAGTCGGAATAGACAACACCGAATATGAAGATAACATGGGACGACATGGACTGAGAGAGAGAAACGAGAATGGTGACAGATTTGCAAATCTATGTGCATTCAACAAAGTGGTCATAGGCGGCACAAACGAATACACAAAGCTACATGGATCTCACTGGACCACACCACAGAGAACCAGATAGATCATATTTGCATCAGAACAAAATTCACAATGAAAAACGTGAAAACCAGGAGAGGATCTGACATAGCTTCAGATCGTCACTGGATTGTGGCCATGATGAAAGTGAAGCTAAAGAAACACTGGACAACTGGGGGAACAGCATTACAAAGGTTCAATAAAGCCTTCCTACGGGATACTAACAAACTCAATGAATTCAAAATAATTCTCAACAACAGGTTCCAAGCCTTACAAGATCTACTGAAGGAAGAGGAAACTATTATGGAGGACAACTGGAAAGGTATCATAGAAGCATTAACTTCAACATGTCAGGAGATTCTGGGCCGCAACAAGCATTATCATAAGGAATGGATCTCTATGGAGACACTGGACAAGATTCAAGCAAGGAAGAACAAGAAGACAGCAATTAGTAACAGCCAAATTACAACACAGAAAACCAAGCCACAAGCTGAATATACAGAAGCAAACAAACAAGTGGAGAAGAGCATTAAAGCCGACAATCAGAAATACGTGGAAAAACTAGCAACGACAGCGGAAAGAGCTGCAAGAGAAGGAAATATGAGACAGCTATATGATAGAACGAAGAAACTAGCAGGGAAATATAGTAAACCAGAGAGATCGGTCAAGGAGAAAGAAGGCAGGCCAATCGCTGAAATTCAAGAACAGAGGAGCAGATGGGTAGAGTGTTTTGAGGAACTCTTGAATATACCAGCTCCAGTTAATCCAACGGACACTGAAGCAGCAACCAAAGACCTTCCAAAAGATGTCACTGCACCAACGACCGAAGAAATCAGGATGACAATCAGACAAATCAAGAGCGGGAAAGCAGCAGGACTCGACAATATACCAGCTGAAACACCGAAGTTAGACACTGAAGTAACTACAAACATGCTACACCTTCTATTCAAGAAGATTTGGGAGGAGAAACAAGTGCCGACGGGCTGGAAAGAAGGACACCCCATCAAGATCCCAAAGAAAGGCGATCTGAGCAAATGTGAAAACTACAGAGGCATCACACTACTATCAGTACCAGGAAAAGCCTTCAACAGTGTTGCTGAACCGGATAAAAGACGCAATAGACGCCCAACTTCGAAATCAACAGGATGGATTCCGTAAGGATAGATCATGTACAGACCAAATCGCAACACTACAGATCATCTTTGAACAATCAGTAAAACGGAACTCGTCACTATACATCAATTTCCTGGATTATGAAAAAGCATTTGACAGTATGAATAGGAGAACGTTATGAAACCTTGACGCTACGGTGTACTTGAGAAAATCGTTCACATTATCCGTAATTCATGCCATGAACTACACTGCAAAGTCGTGCATAGAGGACAGCTGAGAGATGCATTCCAAGTAATGACCGGTGTCAGACAAGGCTGTCTACACCCCACCTTCCTCTTCCTTCTGGTGATTGTCTGGACTATGAAGACCTATGCTTCTCAGAGGAAGCACGGGATACAATAAACAGCCTGGATGCACCTAGACGATTTAGACTTCACAGATGACCTAGCTCTCCTGTTCCATACACATCAACAAATGCAGGTCAAAACAGTCAGCGTAGCATCAGTGGACCTCAACACACACCAGGAAAAACCAAGATCCTCAAATATAACATAGAGAACACCAACTCAGTCACACTCGATGGAGATCTGGAAGAGTTGGGAACTTCCACATATCTAGGAAGCACCATCGACGAAAAATGAGGATCCGATGAGGATGCAAAGGCAAGGGTAGAATTCCTATAACTGAAGAACATACAGAACCTAGATCAATTATCAGGCAACATCAAAGTCAGAATCTTCCATATAAACATTAAGACAGTTCCACTGTACAGAAATGAAAAGAACCACCACAAGCATCATCAAAAAAGTACAGGTATTTATAAACAGCTGTCTATAAAAGATATTCCACAACCAACGACCAGAGGTGGTTTGGACACAGTTTACGCAAATCCGGTTGCAACTTCAGTTATTTAGGAAGTCTGGTCAGTCCTAATGGGTTGGTGCCTAACGAAATCTCAGTCAGTCAGCTACAACGTAGGACCAGGCACATATGTGCATCGGTCCAGGTTGCCATACCGCATCAGCACAACAAGATGAACACCGGATTCATAGCAGTGGTTATGTCAAAGGTGGTAATATATAAGAGAACGATTGCAATAAGGATATAGTACAGGAAGAAAGAATTAGTTGGTAGAAAGAAAGATATGAAGCGATTTTAATCTCTTAGTTTAAGGGAAGACAGAGAGTGTATACACCTACGCCATTGTGATCGATTCTGAGTCATGTCATCAAGAGTCTCCAACCATTGGTTACGATAGTCACGCGGACCCCAACCAAGTAGTCTGCATCTACCAACATGGCTCAGACTAGAAGTTAGTGACTTCAAGCACTGATGCCACGTTTTGGTTTGGCCGCCCCTAACTTTCTTCCAAACATCCCCAACACCGGTTAGCACTGCACGTCGTGGTAATCGGTGTTCAGGCATACGCAACACGTGACCCAACCATCTCAGTCGATGAAGATTCACAACCTCATCAACTGATTTACCATCATTCCTTAATACCTTGCGTCTAAACTCACTATTACTTACCCGGTGATCCCAGAAGATGCCAGCAATACTTCTAAGGCATCTGTGGTCAAATACTAGTAGCTTACGAGTGTCCTCTACTCTTAATGGCCATGTTTCGCTGCCGTAAATTAAAACAGAACGGACTGCCGCGCACTGTACTCGTCCTTTTATTGACAGACGGATATCTCACCTTCGCCACAGGTGACGTAAGTTGGCAAAAGCCAAGCGAGCTTTTCGAATCTGTCTGTATAAACGGTAGGTCGATGACATCATAACCATAGGAGATAAACGTGAAGATGTGAACCGCTTGCCAACCTCAAGAACCTCAAGCCAAAAGCATATTTCACTTACATGCGAAGAAGAGAAGAATAACCAAACTTGTTTTTCTAGACATACTGATTAGTAGCAGAGATGATAGTTCTGTAAAACGTTCTGTTTATTGAAAGCCAATATGGACCTGGCAATATCTTAATTTACATAGTCACTGCCCAATTAATTACAAACGCGGATTAATAAAGGGCTTATTCGACAGAATCAATCACATTTGTACTAGCGATACTATTGAAGTAGAGACGAAGCTCTTAACTGAAATATTAATGAATAATGGTTATCCATTGAACCTTATAAACCACTGGAAGGGTTGCAATATGATTAGACCTATGACGCATCCGGCACCCAAAAAGCGAGTTTACATTATGTTACTATTTAGAAGCGATTCATATAGTTTCATGCTGAAACGGAGACTTAAATTAGCCATCAACCGGACATTTTATGCAACCCAACTTGTTATTATTGAAAAGACAAGGCCTACGTTTCACCAAAACCCAAATAGCACATAAGCGATTGTGTCGCATTCACTGTCTAATAGTGCGGAAATACGTACATAGGGAGAAGTAATCGTGATCTGCAAATAAAGGTGGCGAAACACATACCCAAATGGTTGAAGAAACAAATGAATTCCAATGGTCAAATAAGGTCACAGGATAGACAGACATCTACCTCAATTGCGAAACATTTGGTTGAGACTGGTCATAAGGTTGATATCAAGTCAGCATTTGTAGTGTTGTACAAAAGCCTTCAAAAGTGTGTACTAAGGTGAATACTTTGCATCTCAAGGACCGACTTATGAAATCCATGTTATTTATTTGGATTTATTTATCAGGCATATATCAGTAATGACCAACTCCGAAGGTGTATAAAATATTCTTGCGCTTCACTACTACTTTAATTTAAAGACAACGCTTCTCAACTGAATCCAAATAGCTGGTCATCACCCTAATATTCTACAGAATGGTTTAGTATGAGTCTAGAAATATGATACTGTTTGCCACCTTACTTCATTTTCGCATTTTCTCATTTTCATTTCGTCCTGAAACTCGCCAGTTTTTTCTAGTGTAAGGAGAGTGAGTGTTATTAAAAGAACAGGAAATAAACTTCTAATAACTAAGTTCCAGGTTCGGTGCCCTTTCCGTCCACTTTGGTTTGGGCGACCACATAGTATCAGTGGCCCTAAAAAATAAAGTGTGATTCATACTTAATTACCTGGGAACGAGTTAGCGTAAACTAAAAAACTTAAATGACTGAATTCTAACTGGTGGCTTATAGGCGATTAACTTACTACTCTGTCAGCTGAACTATGGAGTTCTAACGCCAACTAGACCTGACTTTCACAACAGTTACTGAGTGCTTTGTGTTGCTTGGTTACTTAAGCCTGTTTACTCTCTTGAGTCACAGACCACCGACCAGGTATCTCCAAGCAGCTCCACCCAATCTGTGACGTCATCCCCACTATGATGGGCTGTGTAAAAATGCAAAATATTGGGACAGGAACTAAGAATCAGATGTTTTATACGAAAATTCATAAATATTTCAATCAGTCAGCTACAACGTAGGACCAGGTACGTATATGCAGTTCAACTGGCCTGCTGCTCCGGCAACATCGGTCAGACTGTCCTGCCCTCCATGGCCGGTGACGACTGATCCACCAAATGAGGAGGAAGTCCGCACGGAACTCCAACTCTTGAAGCACTACAAATCACCGGGCCCAGATGACTTACCTCCGGCTCTTTAAAGATAGTGGTGACTTTCTGCCTAAGGAGCTGACTGTGTAGTTTACAAAGGTCGTGGAACTAGAGAGTGTACCAACGTCACGGAGTGAGTCGATAGTTGTCCCTATCTTTAAAAAGGGTTCACGTCGTTCCTGTAACAACTATCGAAGAATAAGTCTACTTCCGATTGCGTCCAAGCTATTGGCTTCCGTCATACTTCGTAGGTTGTTCAAAACCCGAGAAAGATTGACTCGCGAGGAGCAGGCTGATTTTCGTTCTGGTCAAGGCTGTATTGATCATATCTTCACCCTCCACCAAATGTTAGAACACCGTCATACCCGTCACAAGCCAACAATCATAGTGTTTCTTGACATTAGGGCTGCCTTCGATTCGTTGGACAGGACTGTTCTCTGGGATTGTCTATTGAAGAAGTGTGTGCCTGAGAAGTTTATTAACATCTTAAAGGCCCTATATACAAACACCTCAGGTAGAGTGAGGGCATACAACCACCTCTCTCCATTGTTCCATTCGAGCAGTGAGGTCAGACAGGGTTGCCCAATCTCACCATTTCTCTTCAACTTTGCCATCGATAACATTCTGGAAACAGCTCTGACGGATCTAAGTCATAGAGGTGTGGATCTGTTGCCTGGAGAAAGACTCCTCGACCTTGAGTATGCGGATGATATTGTCTTACTGTGGAATGATACGCAATCCTTATTTGGTCAGTTGGTAATCAGCGTCCGTAGGTATGACATGTGCTTCACACCTTCCGAGTGCAAAATAATCCTAAAAGACTGGCAGGATTCTAATCCTGTACTCACCCTGGATGGCTAGCAGATAGAAGTAGTCGAGAAGTTCGTGTATCTAGGTAGCTGCATAAGTGCTGGTGGTGGCGTGAGTGATGAGATCAATGTACGTATAGTGAAAGCCAAAGCGGCTTATGCCAATCTGAGCCATCTTTGGCACCTTCGTGATGTCAGTCTGGCTGTAAAACGTCGGATCTACAACGCGTCGGTGAGAGCAGTTCTGCTCTATGCTTGTGAAACCTGGCCTCTCCGAGTTGAGGATGTTAGACGACTCTCTGTGCTTGGTCATCGCTGTCTCCGAAGGATTGCTGACATCCAGTGGCAACACCATATTAGTAATGGAGAGGTTCGGCATCGTGTGTTCGGGTGCAGAGACGATAATTCACTTGGTGTCACCATCTTGAAACATCGACTTCGGTGGCCTGGACATGTTCTACGAATGTCGTCCCAGAGAATTCCATGTCGTGCATTATTTGCCAACTCTGGGACTGGTTGGAAAAAGCGGAGAGGTCGTCAGTGTATGACATGGTGTCGTGATATGAAAGAAATCTGCAAAGGACTGGCTTCTGTTGGTCCTTCACGACTCGCTAGCTGGATTCCGAGAGATGGTGCGACACAGTGGCTAGAGACGTTATCAGATATGGCTCAGAATAGAAGCCAGCGGCGATTCTGCTGTAACCTTCTTTTACTTTCTTCATAAAAAGTGGTTGTGTCTTCCTTAACTGAAAGATTTCTTCTGGTTGTACCTTTCCGCTTACCCCATTATTATTATTATTATTATTATTATTATTATTATATGTGCCTGGTCCTACGTTGTGGCTGACTGACTGATTAGTATTGTTATTATCACACTACCTTACACTAATCTGGTCGTTATTGTTCTTCTTTTTTTTCTTTTACGCTCCTCACCTTTCTTTTTTCTCTTCCCATTCTCATTGTTTTGTGTGGCGCATGTATATTTGGTACCCCCTTGTACCAATATTTATGTGTTCAAATAATAATAATAATAATATTAACGAATATCTTCTCTTAATTGCCATATTTCGCATTCATAAAATAGAACGAAGAGAACTGCTGTGCAGTAAACTCATCCTTTGGTTAGAAGAGGGATATCTCGCCTACCCTACAAGTGGTAGGCGTTCGAGCTTTCTGAATCCGTGCCGAAATTTTATCTGACGCCAGCCTATCGAGACTGATGAGACTCACAAGATAAGTGAAGCTGTAAACGCACTCAACTACTTGAATCGCTACCATTAATTCAGAAACAGACACTGGACAATCCTGAAGCTATATTTTGTATTTAGCAGGGGAGAATTGTATCTTAAAAATGTTTGAATCATTCATTAAAATGATCAGAAGACTAGTTTCGTCAGCGTCTTCACCAAACAGAACTATGTCGTTTGAGAATTTTAAGTTAACAAGTGAATCTCCTGGTAGGTCTTTGTTCATGTATTTATTTACTTGAACACAGATATTAGTACTAGGAGGGCACCAAATATGTATGCGCCACAAAACAACGAGGTTGTGAAGAGATAAATAATGTAAAGTGAGTATAATAAAAAAGAACAAAAATGAACAAAAGTTAGTGTATAAGAGTGAAGTAATAATAATAATAATAATAATAATAATAATAATAATAATAATAATAATAATTCTTTCAGTTAAAGAAATCGTGATCACTTTTGTGAAGAAAGTAAAAGAACATAACAGAAGAATCGCCACTGACCTCTATTCTGAGTCATGTTTCATGACGTCTCTAGCCACTGTGTTGTACCATCTCTAAAACCCCAAATCAAGGAGTTATGAAGGACCGACGGAAGACAGTCCTGTATGGCTTTGTTTCATACCACGATACTATGTAGTGCGCTGATCACCTCTCCATTTCCAAACAGTCCCAGCGTCGGTGAATAGTGCACGATGTGGACCTCATTGGGACGACATTCGTAAGACACGTCCAACCCAACGAATATGGTGTTTCACAATTATGACACCAACTAGGTTATTGTCACTGCGTCCGAACACACGGCGCCAAAGATGGCTCTAATCGGCATAAGCCGCTCTCACTTGCACTATACATGACAAGCAGGTCGATTGGAGAACGGTAAGACTAAAAGCGGCAACTCTGTATGAGGGAGAAGTGACAGCAGTAAGGTGTTTCCCTCAGACAACCAGCTTCTGCAGCGATACTGCCTTCTCACAAGGAGGGGTGGGGTTAGAAAAGGTCGACCCTAAAAACGTCACACCCCACCTTACCTCACGGATTTCCGTCTCCGGCGGTAAAGCCTATTGAAGAACGGAGCTAACACGTCAAAAACCTTCCACAAAATGGCCGTGCGCGACCGGCCTCAAGCAGTTGTCCCTTTGGCTCTGCAGTCACACTCCCATGTCTTTAAGACCAACACCAATCTAATTTCCTTCTCAGGTTCCTCAAGAAATACCCTTCCATGGTGTAGGCAGCCGGGAAGTGACATCAGCCCTCATACCCGTAACAGCACACGAGACCAAGTTGATCATATTCAAATCCTTCCTACACCTCCTAATACCTCTCTTATCTCCATGACTAACCCTCCTCATATCGCTTTATCACCCCGCACCGCTAGGGCAAACGATTCGAGTACACCGAACGTTATTCCTGGTCTCCTGAAACCACGCTCTAAACTACAAGTAGGAGCTTTTAACGTCCGAACACTGTGCCAAATAGGACAGCAGGCTTCCTTAGCTAAGACTTTAGAATCTCGCGCCATCGATGTGTGCTGCGTCTCCGAAACGCGCATACAGGATCCGAGTAGCGTCATTCACTTGACCTCATCATGCCAAAATAAAGAACCAACTCGATTCCCACTTCGTGTATCTGGAAGCCCTGATTCTGCTCGAAAACTTATCCTATCTGGCTCTGAACATAACGAAGAGCGGAGTCAGCTTAAGCGCATGCTGATAAGAAGCCTACGCAATGATTGTGAACAGCGATGGGAAGCGAAAGCAAGAGATGGAAAAGGCAGCGGCACTATGTAACAGCAGACAACTGTTCAGACTTGTTAAGGAAACCGGTATTAGGAATCGAACTGTTAGCAAAGCTATATCGGAAGAATATGGACATATTATTCATTCTCAATCCAGGAGATTGGATCGATGGGCAGATTTTATTTATTTATTTATTTGAACACATAAATATTGGTACAAGAATGCGCCAAATATATATGCGCCACACAAAACAATTAGAATTTAAGGGGAAGGAGAAAATAAAAGAGATTGATGTAAGGTTGTGTAATAATAATGATGGTGAAAATGGCGGAACGGACAGGTACAATCAGAAGAAATCTTTCAGTTAAGGAAGACACAACCACTTTTTATGAAGAAAGTAAAAGAAGGTTACAGCAGAATCGCCGCTGGCTTCTATTCTGAGCCATATCTGATAACGTCTCTAGCCACTGTGTCGCACCATCTCTCGGAATCCAGCTAGCGAGTCGTGAAGGACCAACAGAAGCCAGTCCTTTGCAGATTTCTTTCATATCACGACACCATGTCATACACTGACGACCTCTCCGCTTTTTCCAACCAGTCCCAGAGTTGGCAAATAATGCACGACATGGAATTCTCTGGGACGACATTCGTAGAACATGTCCAGGCCACCGAAGTCGATGTTTCAAGATGGTGACACCAAGTGAATTATCGTCTCTGCACCCGAACACACGATGCCGAACCTCTCCATTACTAATATGGTGTTGCCACTGGATGTCAGCAATCCTTCGGAGACAGCGATGACCAAGCACAGAGAGTCGTCTAACATCCTCAACTCGGAGAGGCCAGGTTTCACAAGCATAGAGCAGAACTGCTCTCACCGACGCGTTGTAGATCCGACGTTTTACAGCCAGACTGACATCACGAAGGTGCCAAAGATGGCTCAGATTGGCATAAGCCGCTTTGGCTTTCACTATACGTACATTGATCTCATCACTCACGCCACCACCAGCACTCACACAGCTGTATAGACCAGACATTCACACTACATCAGGTCCTAGAGCACAGACATATATTCAGACGCCCCACAATAGTAGTATTTCTTGACCTAAAGGCGGCATTTGACTCTGTTGATAGTGAGGTTCTATGGCAGTGTTTGTCACTGAAAGGAGTACCAAAGTGAATTAACCTTATAGAGGCTCTCTACTCAAACACAACTGGTCGAGTGAGACCTTATGGTGAACTGTTATCAGAATTGACACGAGGTGATCAAGATATACATGAAGGGTTAGTTGTGGGGACGGAAAGATTATTAAGAGGTGAGAGGATTTGATCGTCAACAAGATATCGAGTGCTGATAGAGGTATGGAGGCGGCTGTCAAGTACTAGTTTCTCACACCCTAGAGGGGTATTTCTTGAGGGCCCTGAAAAAGTAGCTGAATTAGTGGTGGTCTTAGAAACCTGAGAGCGTCGACGCAGAACCCAGTGGACATCCGTCTCAGGCCGATCGCCCATGACCTCTTTATGTGAAGTTCTTGGTAGGTTATCCCCCCACTTAAAAAAGCCCTACCCCCATAGACGGAAGTACGTGCAGTAAGGTGAGGAGTAAAATTTTAAGGTCAATCTTTTCCAAATTTCCCCTTCCGTTTTGAGAAGGCAGCATCATTGCGGATGCTGTTATCCGACGGATACATCTTACTGCTTTAGAATCCCTATACAGTCAGCAGTGCAACTTCGCCCCTGGAACTTAATCTGATGTTTTTTAGTCTTATCATTCTCCAAACGTTTTGTCTGGAATGGTAAGACCCAAGGGAATGTATCCCACCTAATATAACTCGGTTGGGTAACGATACCCGAGCACAACCACCAAGTCAATGTAGCAGTTACGGTTGGGAAAGTAAGGAAAAGATACTTATGTTGGCTAAAATCGTTAACACGTTAAGGTAACGAAATCTACGTAAACTATGGAGATGACAATATTGGTGTTGGTGTTAGGAGAAGACAACCTGAAACAGAGGAAAGTATGACTGATACGAAACACCAACACTACTGGTGAATAAGTGGCAACAAAACCACACTAGATTATATAAGTTTGGAGTATGCTATCATATATGTAGATTTATAGTGAAGTATTTGCTACGATTCGGGATTACTAGCTGTGTCTTCTCGGTACTCGAAAAACACGTTACTTCGTGATTAGTACGAAAAACTATAGATCTTTACAACCAAGCTTGTCAGAACTGTTATAAATTACCATAACAAAAATAAACAAACCCGAGGTAACTGATCTGCTTAACATATTTAGCTCAGTACAACTTTTGGAAGTGAATATGATGGAGGATCCTAAATCTGGCTGATGAAAGACTTTAAGGAGGATAGACTTCTTAGGAGGAATTCGACTGATTTGGAAAATTTACGATAGAATTTCAGTCCTCTACATAATTGGAGAGAACTTTGTTTAAACTCAGTCTTGCTTATGCATTTTGCTGGTTTTGACAGGGATTCTTGGTATTATTTGACGTCATTTAAATTGGTTGGAAGATACCCAGTTTCAATATCGAAGCCCGACCTCCCTACTTTGGGGAAAAACCCCAGTGGCAAAATATTCATGAGCAAACCCAAGATTTTCCGCAGACCTAGGGAAATTTCGGGGTATTTGTGCTATTTTCCCAAAGTTTTCTATTGCGGCAAAATTTTCCCCAAAATAGGGAGATTGGGAATGCGAGAGAAACAGATGACTTAGTATCAATACTATAAATTGACTAAACACCTCATAAAATCCTTGAAAAGGATTGACTCAGGAAGTTGTAGTGGAGTGTGTTGAAATACGATACAGCTCCAAGCAAAGTGAGTCAGATAATTATTCATGCAGAAACCCAGGAACCTCAAAGCTACTGCATGAGCGAGCCACACCTAAAAAATTATTGACTTGCGTTTTCGGCTTTATTTAGAGAAAACTCGTCATAAGAAATGCAGTATGACGTACAAGAAAATTATCTAAACTAACCGAATACGTTTGACATCAACCAGTAAGGGCCATAACGCGCTTTTTCGAAAGGACCTCCTTACTTAGGATGATTATTTTCAAAATGGTTCAAATGGTTGTGGACGGAATAGAAGAAGCTTTCGCTCAACGGACTTCCGTGTCTAGTAGCACTGGGTCATAAATACCTCCAGGCAGGAACCTAGGTTTATTAACTATAAGAGAGGAAAAAGAAAAACATTGGTAAATCATAGATACTACTCTTAGTCCATAAGATTAGGTCGAATTTCGTCTTAAAGGACTCCTGTGAAGTCACTTGAACTTGCCCAGTCGACAGCTATACGTTTGATAGATTAATCTTTTTCGAGTTCCACCCAATCTAATAGTTAACTGTGGTTTTGCCTCAGCTTACTATTCGCTTTTTCCAGTTTTTCACGTAAAGGCCAGTTCAATTTATCTCATCCGTTTTTATCCATTTTTTCCCGTTCTTAGCGTGCTTTCTAGTGTATTTTTTACGGTCTTAGGTCTTTGCTAGCATCTATAACACAGTTTACGTCAATACAGTCATGAAAATCTCATGCAAACGACCTGGATGCCGTTTTCCTGTTACATCTGGCATGCAGTGCGACAACTCCAAAGGTTGGTTCCACGAAGCGTGCACAGATCTCATAGCAACTGCTTAAAACAGACTCAGCAAGTCGTATCATAAGTGGGAATGTGTTATGTGCAACACGGATGCTGCAGTCTTGCTGAGTAACATCATTGTCGTGTTGACAGATCTGCGGAATAAGTTGTCAGAAAAATTGGAAAAAGACAGTCATAAAACGGGTGGACAAACAAAGGCGCGCAACGAAAACAAAAATAGGGATGTCAACAGGTCTACCATCTATGGAGCATACATTAGCACTAATAATGACATGTTGAAACTCAGCACCATCATTACATCGACGTTAATAGACTCCCTCAGTAAACTCGGGTCTCCCAGCTCAGGGTGTGTGAATGCAAAAGTGGTTCCCCAAAACTCTGTAGGTGATTAGACCCACGTTAACAGAGCTAAAAACAACCAGGCGTCATCGTCTAAGGTGAACATCCCAAGTGTTTTACGGAAATCAACTGGTGGTTTGGTCGCACAGTCTACCTCCAAGAATGTCCGTCTGGTCATCAAAGAGACTAGGATTCAGAGACGTGCTTTGACCTCCAAACAACAAGGTGCTGAACCTGAACACACCTGATAACCTGGGAAAACAATAACGGTTCGTGATGACTCGCTCATAATCATGAACCTCAAAGACAACCCTGACCTTCCTCTCGGTTTGGAGGACAAAAATGACAGGATGTTCTGGGGTGAATTGAACAAGAATCTTAAACTTCCTACGATAGAGCCTTTAACGGTCACATGGCTCACTCGGGGAAAGGAATCTAGGCATTAAAATCACCCAGGGCTATTTCGTGTAACACTTAAGAATGCTGCCGACGTAGAGGATGTCCTGCTAGCTAGTCATTCACTGAAATCCGATGGGGACGTTAGAATACTGCCCGACATACCGTATTCTGAGCGCAATCTCATCCGGAACATCCCCAAAGAAACTCGCGATCAGTTTTTCCACAGAAGAAATATAATTGTGCAAGGTGTACCGGAAAACACGGACCCTAGTCAAGCAAACTCTAATATTAGGGAGTGGAAATTCATCAGAAAATCCTTGAGACTCAAAAACATACTGACTCTACAAGTGATGAGACTAGCCAAGAAAGACGGAGATTCTAGACCCCCGGTTAATAAAGACAAATTTCCCATCCTCCACTATGGCGGCTAAAATTCTGGAAGCATTTCGTGCCAATAGATATTGATTGCCAACTTGAATCCATATACACCCGGATAGGCCACATGACGCCACGATCAAGCACAAAGGCAATTTGGAGCTGACCATTCCACCTGTGGACTGTCTCGATGATAAAAATCGTGTAGAGGACAGAGCCTACCAACTCGACAAACCTTATATGGGTAGGCTACCTGTCCATTCACGTAAGGCTCATACAGAAGAAGCTCATGCGCTTCAAGTTGAAAGCATAAACTGCTTATACATGAACGCCGCGAGTTTACCAAACAAAACGGCTGAGCTACGTGAACTCAGCAATGCTAATAGGGTTCATCTGATAAGAATATCTGAACCTTCTCAGTTCTTGGATCAGGAGCTAGCAATACCTGGGATGTCTTTCTTTCGTAACGACAGAAAAACAGGAATCGGGGGTGGACTAGTCGTATACATACGATGTTGCTTGGAGGTACACCAAGTTCACAACCTCGAGTTTAACAATCTTCAGGAATCCATATGGTGCTCTTTAAGATTGTCTACTACGTCGAGGTGCCTACTAGGAGTCACATATAGAAAGCCCGCTGCCGACATCGGTTATGACAGTCGTGTGCTGGAAAGAATATCCTGCTCTACACGTCTCGGTTTCACTCATATCCTGATTCTAGGGAACTTCAATCTCCTCAGAGACAATTTCGCGGAACATACGCATATTGAATGTGAAAACTCAACTGAAGCTCGGTTCTTCAACCTCATTGAGGATTTGCGATTATGCGAAAATGTGAAGTCGGCAATTCGTTGAAGAAAAAGTCAGACACCGTCGCGCTTAGACTGTGTATTTACAAACGAAGAATTTCTAGTTGAAAACCTCTCAATCCTGGCTCCCTTGAGGAAAAGCGATCACGCCGTAATAGCTTTCAGTTTTGTTGCGAAAACCGAGTTAAGGTATCCCACCAACAACATGCGCTGGAATTTCAAACGGTTGAATGCGTCAGCTCTACAGGACTATCTACAACAAGTGGATTGAGAAGTTCACCCTCAATTTGATGTAGATACTCATAGTGACTTCTTACTGCACACGCTCTCATGTGCTACAAAGCAGTCAGTTCCTTAAACGGTCCCCAAAAGCAACAAGCAACCTACAATCATCAAGAACTGCACTATTCGCCTGCTAAGCCACAAAAGGCACTGTTGGGCAGAATAAAAACGAACTGACAATAATGGAGCGTCCAGGCAATACAAACATATAAGGAACATATCCAAGAAGGATATAAGAGAAGACGGGCTTCAGTACCAGACAAAGCTTATGGATAAATTTATCTCTAATCCGAAAATTTTATTCCGTTATGCAGCCTCTCTTCGTTAAGCCAAAACTAGAGTTTCCCAACTGCTAGGTCCCAAAAAAGCCCGACCAATAACTACGGCGACGCCACTAATCTTCCGGCTGAACATTACTCTCAGACATTTCAACCGACCCACATCAACTATATTGATGACAGCTTCATTTGCAAGTGTACAGAACTTTCAAAGTTAACCTGAGCGCTGACTTGCTGTACCGGAAACTACAGCACTTAAGAAAAGACATTTCTCCTGGTCCGAATACGGTTAATTCTGCTATAATGATGGAAGCAGCTTCAATCCTGGCAACACCACTTAGCATGGTGTTCTCACGCCCGCCAAGCCGAAGCTAATTACCGGAAGTTTGGAAGCTGGTTCACATCACACCAATTTTCAATGGAGGTCAACGCATCAGACCTTCAAGCTACCAACCGGTAGCTCTTCTCTCTATACCTTCAAAAATTATGGAGTCCCTAATATGCGACGGTACTGATGACTATTTACTGTCCTTAAATTTCTTATCACCCCAGCAGCATGGTTTCAGAAAGGGTCATTCTTGTAGAACTAACCTACTGACTGCGGTGGACAGATGGACAAGCATCCTCGATCGCAAGGGGAAGGTTTATATCATTTACCTTGATTTCTTAAAAGCTTTTGATAGGGTCAACCATATATGTCGTATCAATAAGCTCAAATGATTGGGTATCAGACCACCTCTAATCGACTGGCTCACTTCATATCTAAAAACCGACATTTTAAGGTCAGGGTCAACCTCACTTTCTCTCGGGCTATGGAATGTCCTAGTGGGGTCCCTCAGGCTTCAGTACTAGGACCTCTTCTCTTCTTGATTTATATAAACGATCTTCCACAACAGGCGTCGTCTGACTTATTACTTTTCGCTGATGATGTGAAACTTTGGAGAGAGGTACGTAACCAAGAAGATAGACAGGCACTTCTGGAGGATCTGACTCGACTTCAAAGTTGGGCAGACGATGATGGACTTACGTTTAACACTTCAAAGTGCAAAGTAGTCCATCTGAGACATGTTGTAGAATACAGTTACAACTCAGGCAACTCTTTTCTGGAAGTATCCTGAGTTGAAAAGATTTAAGAGTGCTGGTACCCTATGATTTGAAGTCTTAATCCAACTGTGACAAAAATGCCTTTCGTGTAAACCTTGCACTCATAACATTGAAGCGCATTTTTGGTCAATTTGACTCGAGAACTTTCATTCGGCCTCATTTAGAATACGGAAAGCTATTATTTCCTCCCTCACTCAAAAAGGATAAGGACACTCCGGAACGTATCCAACAGTGAGCTACGAAATCGGTTCGAAGACTCAAATCCAAGTCTTATGAAGATCTCCTTCAACCACTAAACCTTTACCCTTCGGAGTACAGGCGTCTTGGAGGTGACCTCCTAATGGCTTACAGCATCCTTGATCTTTAACTGGAGACACAGCTCAGCAGAACGAACTGTAGACACTACTTCTTCTCTTTAAGAGTAGCCAAATGCTAGAATTCGCTGCCGATTGAGCTAGTCCAAGAGACTTCCCGGGAGTCCTTTAACACGAAACTTGGCCTAATTTTACGGTCTGAGCATAGTATCTTACTATGATTTACCAACTTTTTTCTTTTTCCTCTCTTATAGTTAATATACCTATGTTCCTGCCTGGAGGTATTGATGATCCACTGCAGTCAAGGGAGTCATATTTAAAATAGACACTCTTAACGGGAATGTCACGTTCCATATATGGTCAATGACACCCTAAACATCTCATCTAAATGGCGAAACGGTTGTCGTGCGGCCTAGAAGATCTAGAAGTCTGTGGCAGTCAACGTCTATAACTATTACTAATTCTAAGGTCATTACTCGTAACAGTTGGTGAATCTTTGCAATCAGTTACTTTGAGCAATACTTTTCCAAGTATCACTCAGCTATTTAAATTGTCATCTTTCTAGGATTTACTTTTAG